ACAATAGAGGGGTCTGACAGTAAATACTCGTTCAATCTCTAACTTCCCTTTCCTTGGTTGGGGAATTGCTCCTTTAATGATAGAGTAATTGGAGCATGGTCTGACCAAGTAATCAGACCAATGGTAGAATTTTCCACATTAGAAATTGAAGTTGTTGAAATTAAGAACCTGTCAATCCTTGAATAACAATTGTGAGCTGCAGAATAACATGAAAAATCTCTCTCGGTAGGATGTGTAATTCTCCAAGGATCTACAAGCCAATGACACAAAAGTGCACCGCAAATCTTTGAAGACATAGTGGATCTTCGTTTTAAAGTGCGGGCAGTAAGATTCTTTATACGAGAAGAATCTAGTATACTACCTAACAAAAAATTATCACCTCCAATTATTACCTCCCCAAAAGAGTACATACAAACCAAAGTTAACATAAATTCTGCAATTAATTCTACATTAATAAATGTATATGGGTTATTGTTTACATAACATTGCAAAATAAGATATCTCCCCTTTTTATCCCCTATCTTCCGGATCAATGAAAAGGGTTACATCTTAACCAACTAAAATTGAAACACCCTGTTTTTTTGTAGAGTAATATGAGTTATAATTTATGGGGTATTCAAGTGAGTTAAATTTAGGTCTTAAAACCCATTTAAAATGCGTCTCTTGAAAAAACGGTATATGAGCTCCTTGTAATGCTGCATCTCTTAAGGCTAAACAACGTTTATTTGGCAAGTTAAAATCTTTCGCATTCGGGGGGGAGGGGAGCGGGGCCTGATTGCTGACCGGGAAAGTCGCATATAGCATGAGCTCCCGGGAGAAAACCTCGGTATAAGCCTGATACTGAACAATATTAACCCATTCGAGTCAACAAACAGATTACTTACCTGAGGGACACTTACGGCAGAGTGTCCGACCTGCTTTTATTTGACACCGGTGGGCATAACTCATGAAAGGTCTCTCTGCGGCCTGCAGCCCTACTTGTGGCAGGGGAGGCGGCCGCTCCTCTGCCCTGGTCTGAAGACAGCTTGTTTCTGAGCCCTGTTACCTCCCCCTCTGGACCGGTGGGGATTATCCCTGTCCCCACTGGGGCATTCTCGCAGCCAGAACCACACGACAGTACACCCCAAGGCGACCTGAGAGATCAGGGCCTGCGGTCTAAGATGGCCGCCACACCAAAGCCCGATGCATCGCAAGCCTCTCAACGGCCAGCCATCGCAGAGACCCCGCTCCTGCAGGCAACCTGTGTATGCAATTTTGGGCCAAGTTGAGTGCTCGCACACGTGCCACTACTCCCATGCACCAGGCCGAGGCCCCCTGTAACTGAAGAGTGAACCGCCATCACAAGGCACAGCCTCTACCACGCGGCTCCGCGCGGACCAGCACAAAGGGCGAACAAGCGTCGCAGGCACCGAATCCGCAAATGCTCCAGCTCACCCGCACTACAGGGCATTAGGCGCCGTCTCTCGCACACCAACCTGCCCACTCAAAAGACCTCGGCATCGCAGCGATTGGTACGTGGGCCTGGGGGAATGCAGACACAAATCACAGTTGCCAGACGCGACCAGACCCAGGGAAGCCCCCTGCTGTCAAGCCGGGAGACTGGGTCCCGTGGAGCCGGCCCTACCGGTTGGAATGGACTGCGGGTCTCTCCCACTACAGGAGTTGGCTGAAAGATCCATAATAATACCCACCCATAGCAAGGCTGTGTTTCCATCATCCAGGCACGGTTTCTTACATGATTATTAAGCCTTACTCCTTACCCTGCCCAATAGGGAAGTGTGCTGAAGTCCATTTTATGTTACCCAGTGGTATTTCCTAGATGTTTGTCTCACCAGTTCTAATTTAGCCTGTTTCTCCTACTGTTCTAATCTGCTAGAACTATATTCTTGATGACCTTTCCTAATATAAAGCTTGTAGCCTCCTGTTTACAAATAAGCATGATATAGTATGTGACTTAGCTATATCTTAGCAAGCATAGTGGCTATAAAGTGCAGCTTAGAGCAAACGTGATCACTATTTGTTTTACTGTGATATAATCTGCTGCAAGGTTAGCAAGAACCACTAGAAGATTATCCAAGCTATATGTGCAGCCTTAATGAATATGATGGTTATGCTACAGTTATTATTTTTTTTTTAAATTGTGCCGTTTAACCCATTGCACCTACTGTTACACATGAAAATATGCTCGGGGACTGCTATTGTGACACCACGAGCTTGTCTGTCATTATCTCATTGCACAATAAAAAAATATAGAATAAAAAAAAAAAAATCTTTCGCATTCAGCAAAAATACAGCAAGTGTCATGGATTAGTAATTAGCAATAACTCAACAATATAACAATATAACCTCCCTTCGCTCCATATATCAATATTCCTCAAAGACCACGTCTTGAAAAACGCATAGGCCAATAATCTATTATTAAATTGACTAAAGCCAAAAAATACCTTGGGATCAATGCCATTTTGAGTGCAGTACCAATGGGGGATTATGTCTACTTCTAACATATGTACTTTTAAAACATGAAAAAAGGAAAAAAATAGCATAAAAGTAACTATGTGCCACAAACTGTTTATTATGTCTACCTGACATGATATAAATTATTTTTTTTTAAACAGATTTAACGATGGCTTAAAATTAAAAGCCACTTTGTGAGCGTATAGGTTCAAAAAAATTTATAAAATTAAATTATCATTAGCATTAAGCTACCAAGCTAATAAATGACAGCCGATTTTCCAATTCCCCTTACCATCTGATCTGTTTTAACATAGCTTAACCTGATGTTAGAGTATACCTCTTATCAACTTTTTTATTTTTTATTTTAAATATAGCCTTATTATCAGAAAATATACCCTTTAACCAGAAATTATATAACCTGGTTAATAAGCTAATTATTTAAATGCCAGCATAATTATTTTCAGCGGGCATCAAAATTTATCAATTGTGAGTGGGAACGCTTATCCAATCTCTTTTGAGTTTCACCGGTGAACTCGTCATTGGTTCTACCACCGTAGAATGGTGGAGAAGTTTCTTCCCTTCTTCCAACGAAAAGATAGACTTATCAGTCCCGTTCCTCTTTACCAAGAGTTTAATTGGAAATCCCCACTTATAAAGTATGTTAGCTGAACGTAACGCTGCAGTAATGGGTGCAAAGGTACGCCTTTTAAGCATTGTTGTTGATGATAAATCTACGAACAGCTGAACATGTTAAAATATGCCTTGTAGAGGACCCTTAATACGAGCAGCCATCATCACTTTTATGGTAAAATAATGCACCTTAGTGATAACGTCCCTTGATGTAGTGATAGATAGGTGCCTAGGTCTGGGAAGACGGTGTGTGCAGTCAAGAAGTACCTTCAACCTTTTATCCATGGAGGAATATGTATCAATTATAGAGTTATATGCATCCGCGATCTCGACTGTTCTATCTTCCAATTTAGCTGTTCTGGCCCCTAGCTCTTGTATATCTGACCTAATATCTGATGCAATCTTCATGAGATCTGAATCTAGGGAAGCTTTCAGCTCTTGCATTATCAAACTCACAGAGGCGTTAGTAGCTGGGTCCGTCAAGTTCATAGAACTATGGCTGCCTACACTAATACCTGAACAAAAAGTCGGGGATACAATTCCTTCAACGCCATCTTGATCATTAGGCTTAGTCGATGGTGAAGTCATCCGCTGCAAATTCAATGTTTTGTGTTTTAATTTTTTGCCAGATTTCATATAAATCTCGGTGTACCAGTGAGCCAATTGCATTGCCAGCCAAAAACAAAACAAAAAGGAAATACAAAAGGAAATTTTCAAGTAGCCCAAAATTCAGCTTTAGTCACTTATCTTTTACCTTTAGTGGCATTTTTGCTGGATACCATCAGCACTTGCACCCAATCTGTGCTTTTAACCGAAGCCACTTCGTATCCTGTGGCGTTTAGACCTTTGGATTCTGCATTAGATAAACCTGAATAAACTTTCAATCCGCCTTCAGTCACTTCTCATCTGGACTTGTCTTGTCTGTACATGCGCTCCAGTTCCGTGCTCCGGCAATTACTGCCTCTATAGCTGCATCACATTCAATCACAGCGTCATAGGCGTGCGCACGGGTTGTGCCGGGCAGGAGAGGACCCGGGGAGCTATTGCCGGCAGCTCCACAAGGTTCCTCTCGCGAGATCTGAGCGTTGCCGCGGCCTGCACACCCTAATCCCCGTGGCACCCCTTTGGAGTGAGACCGGCAGGGGAGATATCAGGATCTCCCCTGTCGGCTCATGCAGAGCCAGCACTATCCGAGCGTCGGCTCTGCTCTCAGCCTCCCTCCCCACCGACCCACATGCAAGGAGGGAGGCAGGAGAGGACCCGGGGAGCTATTGCCGGCAGCTCCACCGGGTTCCTCTCGCGAGATCTGAGCGTTGCCGCGGCAACGCTCAGATCTCGCGAGAGTGAACTCTAGCCCCAAAGGCTAGAGTTCACTCACCACTGGAGCACCGGGGTTGGCAGGAAGGATCCCCCCTCCCTACATAAGGTGAGAAGGGAGAGGGGATATCAAGTAATCTGCCCCCACCTGCACTGGACCAGGGAAGGCAGCAAGGAACAAGAATCCCTCCTCCCTACATAAAGTAGGAAGGGAGGGGGGATATTAAGTAATGTACCCACACACATACAGCACCCACAGACATATACAGCATCTACACACATACAGCACCCACAGACATACACAGCACCTACACACATACAGCACCCACACCACCCTCACACACAGCACCCTCACAAACACACAGCACACAAACAGCACCCTCACAAACACACAGCACACTAACAGTACCCTCACAAATACAAACAGGACCCTAACAAACACACACACACAGCACACTACCAGTACCCTCACACACAAACAGGACCCTCACACACAGTACATTAACAGCACCCTCACAAGTGCACACACACACAAACAGCACCCTCACAAGCGCGCACACACAAACACCCTCACCCACATAGCACACTACCAGCACCCTCACACACACACAGCAGTGTATATGTGTGTGTGTGTATATATATATATATATATATATATATATATATATATATATATATATATATATATATATATATACACACACATACATACATATACGCGGCGTGTGCTTGTGCTTTAGGGTGCACACCCTAATGCAATAGGCTACGCACGCCTATGCACAGCGTCCAATTAAATTTCGACTTTCAGCTTACAGTGATTTCTGTAGCTACTGCGGCTGCTGCAACTCTGCAGCTTCTGGTTATCCCTTGTGCTTAACATTTCAGGAAACGCTTCTGCTTCTCAACCTCCTGGCTTCACTCCATCCATCCACACTTCCCCTCATTTGCCTCAACCTCCTGCACGCAAGATGCGTTTTCACGTCCTCACCCGAATGTCAGGGATAAACAGGTGTATTTTCAGAGTGCTTTTCTCCATATCTTATCTACACTGAACAAAATTATAAACGCAACACTTATTTTTGCCCCCATTTTTCATGAGCTGAACTCAAATATCTAAGACTTTTTCTATGTACACAAAAGGCCTATTTCTCTCAAATATTGTTCCCAAATCTGTCTAAATCTGTGTTAGTGAGCACTTCTACATTGCCAAGATAATCCATCCTCCTCACAGGTGTGGCATATCAAGATGCTGATTAGACAGCATGATTATTGCACAGGTGTGCCTTAGAGTGTCACTCTAAGCACTGGCACAACTTTGCATAATTTCATGCTGATGGTGCATACAGCACCTCTACCTACACTCAGCTCTGAGAAGGGTTTAAAACTGCAGTGATTTATAACGGCATTTGATTTTTTTTTTTGCATTAAAAAATATATATTTATATTACCTGCAGTATTTTGTTTGAGGGGCTTAACTTTATAAAAAATAGTCAGGCAACCATTCCTGTTACTTCCTGGTTGTTTAGCTCAGTGTTGCAAAATTTAAGAGGCAGCAATTGCCCAGAGCATCTGCCTTGCCAAGACTTCTCATTGAGCTGCATTGGGAAGTCTGTGATTGGACAGCCAAAAAAAGTCTGGGCGTGGTTAGAACGGCTGCAGACAAGAGATCTGTTTGTGATCTGTACGCTGTTTTAAGACATACACTTATGATAAAAATACATTACTTTATGCAGATGTGTTCATGGAGGTATATCTACTAAACCGTGTTAATTTAATTTATTTGGGCAGTGGATTGCCCATTTAATTTAGAATCTGGATTTGCATTAAATATTTAATGTGCAAGTCACTTCTATACCATCTTTCATCTACTGGTATATATTATTCTTCTTTCATCTTTTTTTTCTAATTAAACTATATTAAGATATGATACATGTGTGCAATGCAATAATATTAGAACTGGTTAGCCGTAGCCAGCAAGCTGAGGACAAGGTGTATTTAAAAAGCCGATAACACTAAGCAACAATATGTAGTAGTCAAAAACACCTACAGGATAGAGGCATTTTAAATCACTTCAATTCCAAACAAGTAAATACATGGGGTTTCCTTCCTTTAGTACTTGCATTTACAGTGATCTATTCTAATAAACACATCTGGTTTTAAAGGGCACTAACAATTTTGTCTTTGGACACAATGCAAAGATCCCTCAAAGTGCATGCATGCTTGCTTGCATGCAATGAGGCTACAGGGGAGGAAGCTATAGGTAGATATACTTACCCATGAATCACCCTTGTGGTCTGCATCTAAATTCTGGGGTCTGTCTTCATCTGCCAAGTGCCTGCATCACTCGTAGTCTCTTGCCCATGCATGAGATATTACAAAAAAATAAAAAGCAGATCTATTGAAGATGTTTCAAATAAGTGTTATGCTTATTTTTATTAAATTTTTTACAACCGGATTTTACCTCCAGTTTATTATTTGTGTACATAGTAAAACAGGTTTAGATGGAGAACATGGAAGTAACATTTCTGCATTATGCAAGCCCCAGCAGTGAGGTCATATACCAGGTGTCAGGAGAGCCCTGTTTATTTTATTATACTGTTCTAAAGCTGGTTGTCAAGAAATGGTGTGCTTTCACCCAAAAAACGTGTCCTACCAAACTGACAACAATGAGCTGAAGGGGTTACGTAGCTTACAACACCCCTTTAACACTACGCACAGCCCTAGGCAGGATAATAATTTGGGAACCCCCCTTCACATTGTCGAGTCATTTTTGCAATAGTGTGGATATAAAGATGTATGGAAATAGGTGTATGTCTATATATAAATTTGAATTGGATTATATTTATAAGTAATTGTGTGTGCACAGAATTATTTTTGCATATGTAAATAATTTTGTACAGGGTTAAAGGAATATGTGTTTGTATGTAAATATATCCTGTTATGTGTGTACATAAATATGTAGGGGTTACGGGTGTGTGCATAGATACATGCATGTTTATATGTGCTGGAGGGGGTATTGTGTCTTTCTGTATTATGTATGTGGGTCACAGCATAGTTTTGTGCCTGTGTGCAAATAAATTGTGTGTAATTACTTGTTTATATATTTATATATAATGTGCGCCAGTAACCAGAAAAACATATATACACTATAAAGCAGATATAAAAAAAAATAATAATAAAATAAAAAAAACACATGGAGATGCACGCAAGAACAGAAACAAACCTAACAAAGTATACACAAGTCAAAGCACAGTTATAAACCCACAGATACACTAACATGAAAAACACAAAGATACAATGTAGAGTATAGATATGAACATAAAACACACAGATTTATAGAAAACCACACAGATGTAAACATATCAAAACACAAAGATGCACATAGCAAAATTCACAGTTAAACTCAGAAATGACTATGAAACTCACTGAGAATCCAATTCACACCTAAACATAAAAAAAAATTTGTCGACGCCTACCTCCAACACACCTTTGCTTGAAGATTTTCCTTTTTTTTTTCTCAGAGAACATATATGCTCTGACACTGAGCATGTCTGCATCACCAGGAAGGTGTTAGAGCGCGTACTTTGGAAACATTCAGGCAGGTCAGGGTGTATAGCTGAATTGGTGGCAACCCTTGGCACTCTAGATGTTGTGGACTACACCTCCCCAATACTTTGCCATTATTACAGCTGTAAGATTGTTATTGAAAATGTACGCTACAACATCTGGAGTGCTGAAGGTTGCCTCCCCCCCTGTATAGTCCCTGTATAGTAAGGGGGAACCCCAATATAAAGAAGAAAAAAGCTCACATTTTACTTACCAAAAATGTATCTTTCTTTAGGATTAGAGGCAGCACACAACTGTGATATCCTCTAGTCTAGACAGGAACGGGTACGCTCGTCTCCATACTCCTTCTTTAGGTATAACTTAGGCAACTACTGTATTAGCAAATCCCCAGACAATACACAAGCCAAGCAACGGCAAAAATATATTTATAAAATAATGTGGAAAATAAATGAACTACCTCTAATCCTAAGGAAACAAATTTACTGTAAGTAAAATTTGAGCTTTTCCCTTCAGATTATAGACAGTGCACAACAACTGGGATAACAAAGCTAACCATTTGTTAGGGACCAGACAGAGACAGAATGTGGATGTAAAACACCTTTTTTTAATAAAAAGAATAGCAAAATGAAACTAGTCCAAAAGCAAAGTCCAGGAGGCGAGCAGGGGTCAGAAACCAAAGTGGGTAGTCAGACGAGTCGGAACCAGGAAAACACAGGAAATGTTCTGAGGAAACCATGCAAGGGCAAGGTACTGTGACTTGCTGCTTAAAAGCCTCCACTGATTAGCAAAAGCGGCTGTCTAAATGATAGCTTCCTTAAACCATCTCGCAAGAGAACCCTTGGATGAAAGTCTCTTCTTCTGACCCTGACAAAGGACAATCTATCAGAGAGACAAAAAGGGCTGGTCTTGTGAAGGTAGCACTGCAGAGCTTAACATCCAGGCAATGATAGCTCTGCTCTAGCATTTTGAGGATTCACATTGGATGTTGAACAAACTTTTGGAGAAAAGGAATATATAGCTTAAGAACAACTTTATCCAAATGAAACACCAGATACTGTGGAGAAGATGACAAAGTCTGAAGTTCACCTAGATGTTTAGCAAAATAAAAGTGGCTATCAAAAACACCTTCTTGCACGTGATGATCTTAAGACTACAGGATTCCAAGGCTCAAATGGGACTTTACATAAGTTTGAAAGGAATGGATTATGATCCCAGAAAGAAACCAGTTCCCTGATGGTAGGAAGAAGTTGGGACACTGTTCTGAAAAAAAACAAAAACAAAAAAAACCCAGGATATTAACAGTTCTGAGGCCAATCTCTAAGAGCATGAAAACATTGTGTAGACTCTTGGACTTTTAAAGATGCTGGACGTAGACTTTTTTTAAATCCGAATTACATGAATTTAAGGTATTGTGAATAGAAGTTGATAGAGGATCTTCCTGAACACTCAGGCACCCACCAAGAGGATACCTTTTTCCAGATTCTGGAGTAAACTGTAAAGATGCAATCTTACTAGCAGAACTAAGATGTCTATGACTTAGATCTTTAGCACTCAGGATCTTAAGTGGTACCATGGTGTTAGTTTAAATGTGCGAAGAGTTTGCAGATAGACCCAGGGGCGGATCCAGAACCAAATCTCGGGAGGGGCACTTAAGTGGGCTAGAGCGGGGTGAAAAGGGCTGCAGCAGAGGAATAGGGGACTCTTGTTTAAGGGATAGAGGCTGTACACATATGCTGCCACACACAGTGATATGGAAACACAATAACACACTGACACAGACACTGGCACACCCACAGATACAAACCTATACCTACACAGGCACACACAGATACACATACACACACAAACACACTGGCACATAGATACACACATACCTACACATGCACACTGGCGCATACGCACACACATATCTACACATACACACTGGCGCATATGCACACACATATCTACACATACACACTGGCGCATACGCACACACACATCCCTACACATACACAAAATGACACACATACCTTCACATACACACACACAGATACATGGTAATAGAATATACAGGCAAAACTCCAGGTACTGAAGGTGTATTTATTGGAGGGTAGAACAACTTAAAAGTGCAAAAGTGCAAAGTTTCAGCCCTTGGGGGCCTTAATCATGTTTAAGTCCCTCTA